TTTCCAAGAATGGCCAGCCTGACACTTCTAGGAAATCCACAAGAAGGACAGGGAATCTATAACCATTCTCCACTCTTTGACTCCAGCAATTGGTATGAAAAGAAAGACTGTCTTTAACAAAAACAAAAACAAAAAAAAACTTCTATCTGATTATATGGCATGTTGCTGCTTGTAGACTTCATCCATGGAGTTCTGTGAGCCTTTTTTAAATCCAAATGGCCGTCACTACATCTTGTGTCAGTGAGTTTCATCAATTAATTATGTGCTGTGTGTAGAAGCATTTTTGTATGTCTCGGACATCCTGCCAATCATTGGATGACCCCAAAGCTGTGTCTACATGGCCAAAATCAAATGGCCTCTCTGTTTGGTTGCTGTGGGGAGTCCACACAATGCACGGTTGAATTCTCAACAGAAACTTTGGAGTGATCCCATAGTTTGGGAGATGTGAATAGCTAGATCTGGCAGGATAAGATCTGATCTACTATCCTAGCAAGTTATTCATTTATTTATTTATCATGTTAGAAGCAAATTGAGAATATAGTTATAATGTATAAAAAAGCCACAAAATTAAGAACTTGGCATCATACTAAATTTTCTTTACCAGAAGCTGGCCACTTTGAGTGCATCTGGTGTCTCTGTAAGAGGTCCTCCTTTGTGCATATGGCAGGGCTCAGACTGCACTGTAGTAGGTGGTCTGTGGTTTGCTCTTCTCCACACTCGCATGTCATTGACTCCACTTTGTAGCCCCATTTCTTAAGATTGCTTCTACATCTCATGGTGCCAGAGCACAGTCCCGTCCCAGCAAGTAGTTCCCTCCTAGAGACTTGCTGGTGACATCACATATTTAGTGATATCATTTCTAGCACTGAGCCATACAATGAGAAATGCAACATTGCCAGCCAGCTTCTGGGAGGGATCTGGCAGCAATGCGGTAGCAGCCCCCATGCCAACTATATGGATGATGAAAAGGTTTGGGAACACTTTGGTGTTGCATCAGAACAGCTCTGGAGCCTCTTAACTTGAATGTATCCAGTAGGTGTAGACATGGCCCAAATCCTGCTTGTATGAGAGCAGAAGATTAGAAAAAGTCATTCTGTGCATATTTTTAAAAACATCTTCTAATGCATCCTTCCTCCCGTCATCCCCAACCATCTTTTTACACCCCCTTCCCTCCATAGCTTAATAAAATCTTCAGCTCTGTGAATTGTTCTTTTCTGTATCTTTCTCTGCCGTGGTACCATTGTTCTTTTAATGCCTATCTCTGGAATCCTTTTTATGTCTGTAATACTTTTCTTTATTTTACTGACTGAAAAGAATTTGGGATTACTGAACAGGATGAGAAAAGATTTAATCTTTCCTTTCTCTTCCACAAGACTTGGCATTCCCACAGGAAATAAACAGCAGTGCTCTCAAAACAAGCTCCCCTTTTCTCTCGTTCTCCCCCACCCTGCCATCTCCCAATTAACCAATTGTTAAACCAAGTGTTGCCATTAATGCTACATTGACCTTACATTATATGAAGTGTCTCCTTTTTTGTTAAAAGTTTTTTTTCTCTGTTGTGGAGTTATTCCAGCCTCCGGCCGTTTACATCCCTCCTAAAAGCAAAAGCCTCTCCGGTTCCCACAGAGCGGTTCAAAGAATGACTCATATTCCTTCGGTTAATTGTTCAGTTCTCAAAATATAGCACTTAGAGGGTGTGGCTGCAAAGGGAAAATCTACTGTACTTATAGGACAAGTTGAGAAGTGTTTCACATATGCATCATTTTCTCCTTTTTAATCCCACCCACCCCAGCTTTAACCATTTTCCATCACTTCTTTAGGGGCCTAATATTTTAAATCTAAACAAAACTCCCAAGTGTGCAGTAGTTTTAACTTGGCCACACTTTCTACAGTGAAATTATTGGCTTTAAAGCAGATTTAGGTACAACTGAAATAATTTGTGAGATACGATCCAGGCTTCCCCAGCTAAATGACACACCACACAGATTTGGTAGCTGTTGATATTGGGCACTGTAGTGAGACAGATTGGGAAGGCTGCTCTTTTACTCCAGAAATTTAATGTATGTTTGTTTTTACTTTAGCCCAGCAGCCAGTGGAACTTTCTCCATATTTTGACCAGAGCAGAGGTGATAGGGAAATGCTTAACCGCTTTCATACAGGCTGTTTTCCTAATCAAAATAACTCAAGACATGTTTTCCCTCATAGAGGGGAAAACACAAATGAATGCAGCATATTTTCCCCACTTAGGTGGAAAGCCAGGCTGGGAAATGGAGCAGTTTTGATCAGCAAAACAGGATAGTGGAATAATTGTGATCATATTAAGATCCTTCTCCATAGCTGATCTGAACTGAAGTTTCTCTTCTGATGCTATGCTTAATTTAGCAGCCACAGTACAAGATGGCTGTTGTAGTTCAGCCTGTGATGGTTCCTTTACCTGAGATTTAAGAGAACAGTGATCAAGTTTTTGCATACCCACAGGGGTCTGGAAATGGGGGTTGTGGGCAGGAGAGTATTGTTAGTCATGATGAAGCTGAGAATTCTGGGATGGTCAAGCCTGCATTAGATGTTCCAGTACAGACAGAAAAAGAGGCTGACAGGTCTGTGTTAACTTCCCCAAGAGAATCAAGGTCAAAATGTGAAAAGGATTTGCTAATTGAGGATTCAGAAGAAGATGCCTTCTTCGAGGTAGATAGAAGGGGATCCTTCTATCCAATGGGATTTTGGCCTGCATCAATAGGAGCATAGTGTCTAGATCAAGGGAAGTAATGCTACCCCTCTATTCTGCTTTGGTTAGACCACATCTGGAATATTGTGTCTAATTCTGGGCACCACAATTCAAGAGAGATATTGACAAGCTGGAATGTGTCCAGAGGAGGGTGACTAAAATGATAAAGGGTCTGGAGAACAAGCTTCCCTGGAGACTAGGACGCGAAACAATGGCTTCAAACTACACGAACTACAAGAAAGGAGATTCCATCTGAACATGAGGAAGAACTTCCTGACTGCGAGAGCTGTTCAGCAGTGGAACTCTCTGCCCCGGAGTGTGGTGGAGGCTCCTTTTTTGGAAGCTTTTAAACAGAGGCTGGATGGCCATCTGTTAGGGGTGATTTGAATGCAATATTCCTGCTTCTTGGCAAGGGGTTGGACTGGATGGCCCATGAGGTCTCTTCCAACTCTTTGATTCTATGATTCTATGAAGGGGTCAGATCTGTCAACACAGACAGATAGCTGAAGGGAGATGATGCTCCCAAAGATTAATAGACAAGAAGAAACCTCCCGAATAGTTTTTTGAGTATATATGTGGGGTGATTGAGGCTGATTCCTCAGAGGAATCAATGTTTGGTTTAAGGTAGCAATCTCTTTTCTTGTTCAAGTTTCATGGGCCTTGGATTTCATGTCTTCAAGTGTATTTTCCTGTATTTCTTGTATTTTTCCTGGATTATATTGGGATCAAAGACTCTTGTAACACCTTGGATCTTTGTATTCCTGTTCCTCTGGGTGACTTTTGTGTGCCAAGTCTTCAGTTGTAGTTTGCCTGTGCCTTGGTTTTGGATTCGTGTTACCAAGTTTAAGTGACTCTTCTAATGGACAATATTTTATATTACTTTTGATAGTTTTTTTTATTCTTTTGCTGAAGCTACATTTATTCTTAATCAGCTGCTTTGTGTATATTGGACTCTGGAGTGTAAGATTGGTTCAGAGGTGTATTCCCAGCCCTTGTGTGCAACAATGGCAGGGAGAAAATCAAATAGGTAGGTAGGTAGGTAGGTAGGTAGGTAGGTAGATAGATAGATAGATAGATAGATAGATAGATAGATAGATAATTATTTAACCACATCAGACATAGTCTGAACATGCTTAATAGAAATTATGTTGATGTCCCATAAATCTCCAAATCCAGTTGTCATGTGACAATGCTGCACTTGGGAAAAAAATATGTCCACTCTCTTCATACTTTCACTACCAGTTTGTAGAAATTTGGATCTTGGAAACTGACATTTTCATGTATTGATACATTGTTTGGCCAATGAAGGGTTCTATTTGTTTTATAGGTCCAAAAATGCAATGGAAGCTTATTAGGATCCTTAACCTGCTCATCAATTGTGGAAGCGGTGAACTTCCAGTTGTTTAGTTCAAAGTTTTGTAAGAGTCTTTACACTTGGGACGATCATTCTAGACCAGTGGTTCTCAACCTGGGGTCCCCAGATGTTTTTGGCCTACAATTCCCAGAAATCCCAGCCAATTAACAGCTGTTAGGATTTCTGGGAGTTGAAGGCCAAAAACATCTGGGTACCCCAGGTTGAGAACCACTGTTCTAGACAAATGAATACAGTATATTGATGTGCTGAAACTATCCTTGACTAATGAGTGGTGGAATAATGCTTTTGCTCCCATTACTACCATATGGTTAGAGCAATGCAATATTTTCAAGAATGTTGTATAGAGGGGGTAACATTATCTGAATTAGATCCTAAGCCAGTTTTATATCTTCTTGAATGATGAATTGAACAGTCTTGTAGATATGTGAGTGTGCTTTTTGTAGAAAGATACAGATACATGCTAATGTCTCATTGTAACCATGTAGTATGTCTGGATGTTGTAGCCGTATAGGAAGTCATGAGGATCCTTTAGAGAATCGTGGTGGAAACCATTGCCTCATTAAGTCTCTAATAGTAACTGCCAAACCTCCTGCTGTCTACTACACAGACTCCTGGCTTTTGTCACAGTCTGAGCCACAGAGACATTAAACATTTGCCAACAGTTCTTTCATATGGCATGGAGTCTAGATTTTTGGCCTTGTTTGTTTGTGGTTCAGATTTTTGGCTGAAAATGTACAGCAAAAGATTGTTTCACAAGCGTCATCTCTGTTGTTTTACAGAATTAAACAAAGCTTCTCTTCATCTAGGAAAACAAAGGAAGTAACTTGCATTTGATATTATTCAGATAACTGCATTACTTATAGATCATACCTTTTAAACCTGTGTTGTGTCTTGGGTTAGAAAGAGACCCTTTCTGCTGGGACATCTGAATATTTTGGAGAATCGGCTGAAGCTGGAACGTGCAAGATTTCTCTGACTCAACAGGAAAAACAAAATATTCTGAAAGAGATGTAAGTATTGTACCACCACTGCTATATAGATTATGTTTATGTATTTAAGATGTAAGTACAAAACATCATAATCAATGTCAAAGCTTGAACAAGTTACTGAAGATACAGTGTTGCTCCCTTGTTTTCAAACAAAAGATACACTTGAATGTTTTGGATGAAATTGATATTTTCTTAAATCAGTTCACTAGAACTAACTAAACAGACTAGTCAGAACCATCAAGGTTAAGAAAACGGAACCACAAATAAACAGTCTTGGCCCAGCAAAATTTTTGTTTTTGGTTTGAAATGGAGGATATAGAGCAAGGGTGAGCAAAGTATGACTTGTGGGCCACATGTGGTGCCCAAAGCCCATTTTTGTGGACCTCAGGTAGTCACGTTGTCTAGGGCATTTGTTCTCAAACTGTGTGCCCCCAGATGTTTTGGCCATCAGATCCCTAAAATCCTAATAGCTGGTAAATTGGCTGAGATTTCTAGGCATTGTAGGCCAAAACACCTGGGGACCCACTGGTTGAGAACCACTGCTTTAGAGGATTGTGGAGGTCTGCACCCGCTAAACAAATTTCAGATTTTCACCCTCCGCTCCACAATGCTCCTTAGTGCTAATTTATGCCAAGGCAGGCCTGAAGATGCATGCCTTTATTACAGCATAAGCCTCTCTAGACTCAGAGAGCTTGTGCCATGGGGAATTTATTAGCCATGAAAGTGCTTCAAGGCTTTCTGTTCTTTTTGCAATCTATTTTGTTGTTAGTCTGCCCTGAACTTCAGTTTCATACTGTGCACTTTCCACAGAGGTCTTGGCATCCTTAATGTTGTGTTTAAAGCTGATATCTTCACTATTCCAATAAGATCCAAGATATTTTCCAGGTTTTGAGCAGGTTTAACCATTCAAAGTTCAGTTGTTCAAATGTGATTTGACAGCAGGTTGCTTGAGGTTTTTCCTCCACTCATTTGTGCCTCCATCCTAACTGTAGAGCAGTGTTTCTCATCCTGTGGGTCGGGATCCCTGGAGGGGTTGCAAGGGGTTGTCAGAGGGGTCACCAAAGACCATCAGAAAGCAGTATTTTCTGTTGGTCATGGGGTTTCTGTGTGGGAAGTTTGGCCCAATTCAATCATTGGTAGGGTTCAGAATGCTCTTTGATGATAGGTGAACTATAAATCCCAGCAACTACAACTCCCAAATGTCAAGGTCTGTTTCCCCCAAACTCCACCAGTGTTCTCATTTGGGCATACTGGGAATTTGTGCCGTTTGGTCCAGATCTATCATTGTTTGAGTCCACAGTGCTGTCTGGATGTAGGTGAACTACAACTCCAAAACTCAAGGTCAATGCCCACCAAACCCTTCCAGTATTTTCTGTTGATCATGGGAGTTCTGTGTGCCAAGTTTGGTTCAATTCCATCATTAGTGGAGTTCAGAATGCTCTTTGATTGTAGGTGAACTATAAATCCCAGCAACTGCAACTCCCACAGGATAAAATCAATCCCCCCCACCAACCTCACCAGTATTCAAATTTGGACATATTGGGTATTTGTGCCAAATTTGATCCAGTGAATGAACGTACATCCTGCATACCAGATATTTACATTACGATTCAGAACAGCAGCAAAATGACAGTTATGAAGTAGCAACAAAAATAATTTTATGGTTGGGGGTCACCATAACACGAGGAAGTATATTAAGGGGTCATAGCATTAGGAAGGTTGAGAATCACTGCTGTAGAGCTAGAAAAAAGAGGCAAGCACAGTTCCACCATGCCTAGTCCCAGAAGCAGATGAAAAGCCTTCTCTCTATCTCAGCTTTTTCTATCCTTGCCATGATGGGAGAGAAGAAGATACAGTATCTACTGGACTTGGTCCTCTCCCATACTGCCATCCCCTTTTCTTGTATGTCCTGTCTTAGTTAGATTGTAAGCCTGGGAACTGTTACATTGGTCTCTTACTTGTAAGGCACTATGTACAGTGATAGTGCTATATAAATAAATGAAGTTGATAATCCCGGAAAATCATCCAACTCTGTGTGTTCCCCTAGCTGTTTGGTAAATTGCTCTAACACTAACTAATGTTGATTGAAAGTAGTTAAGTAAGTGTGAAATGTAATGGCACTCTTTGGTTTCCTTGTCAGCGGAGAGATAAATCTGTTCTGAGTTTTCCTTTGAACTTCAAATGAACTATCCAAGGTGCTGAGCTCTGAGTAGAAAAATAGTTTAACACCTTGAGCGGTTTATTTAAAGACTGATTTACCATCTTCCCAAAATGGTAAATCAGTTTTTAAATGAACAGTTGCCACTATGGAAAGGATAGAGTGCATGTTATTCTAAATCATCCTTCCCCTTTTTTTTTTTTTGGTCGTGTCAGGAGCGACTTGAGAAACTGCAAGTCGCTTCTGGTATGAGAGAATTGGCCGTCTGCAAGGACGTTGCCCAGGGGACGCCCAGATTATTTTTGATGTTTTTATCATCCTTGTGGGAGGCTTCTCTCATGCCCCCGCATGAGGAGCTGGAGCTGATAGAGGGAGCTCATCTGCCTCTCCCTGGATTTGAACCTGAAACCTGTCGGTCTTCAGTCCTGCCGGCATAGGGGTTTAACCCACTGCACCACCCGGGGCTCCTAACCCTAATCCGTCCCTAACTTGATGCCCTCCAGAACTGTCTGACTTCAACTCTTATCAAAATACAACAACAACAACAACAGCAACAACAACAACAAGCTTTATTTATGCCCCACCCCCTCTCCCTGAAGGGACTCGGTGTGGCTTACAACACAATGAACAAATAAAATAAATAAAATACAAAAATTATCATATGTCAATGAATAAAAAACAAAATAACAGAACAGTATTAGTATAAATAGATAAACTGTGTTAAAAGACTAAAAAACCCTCTAAAAACAACATATGATTCCTGTGATTAGAGTGTCCAGATTAAAATGATGGTCATAGAAACCGTAAAAAACCTCTCCAATAAGGTGGTTTTTCTTTTAGCCATTATTAAAAGCCTGATGGAACAGCCGGGTTTTCAACTCCTTCCTAAATGCTATAAGAGTAAGTGCTTGTGTAATTTCCCTTGGAAGGGCATTCCAGAGTTGGGGGGCCACTAGTGAGAAGGCCCTCTCCCTCGTTCCCACCAACCTCACTTATGAGGGTAGCAGGCATCCCAGTTCTGATCTTAAGAGCCCAGACAGGTTCATAAGGAAATATGCGGTCATGTAAATAGGCAGGACCTGAATCCTGACCATTAGCTAGACTAACTGAGAATAATGGGCTTTCTGGAGGGCACCACATTGAGGAAGGCTGCTTGAGAGGCAAGGGCAGAATTGAGCTGCAATAAAACATGTTCTCATTGTGGGTCCTGGGAGCTCTATGCCAAGCTCAAGCAAGACTGCCTTTTGGTTGTCTCTTTCCTTCACAAGACCAGAGATAGGAAATAGTTTTAATCAGAAAAGTGGATCTTTTTCCCCAGGCTGCCGGAACCAACTCTGCAATCCCTTTCCATCCCCAAATGTTGGTCAACATGTTGAAAGTGGCAGGAAACTTCCCGCCGTGCAAGGGGCTTCTGGGAAGAAGAAGCCCTTACAAGCAGCATGGCCGGCGGGAGGGTGCCCACCACCGCAACGGCCCTTGCCCCATAAGTCAGGCCCCATAAGTCAGGTGCCCACCACCGCAACGGCCCTTGCCCCATAAGTCAGGCAAGGCATTTCTGATATTAAAACAAGGTATAAAAATATATTTAAAAATATATAGTGTCCCTAATTCATGAATTTTCACTTACCGCGGGAGGTCCTGGAACAGGACCTTCACGATAAATGAGGGAACACTATATTCTCTTTCTTTTAAAGGAAGCTTATTCTGCATTGTAATCTGCTGGTACTGTGTTTAGGTTAGCTGCCTCAAGGGCTTGTCATTAGGAAGAAATCCAGGAAATAAATAGTCTGAATAAGCATAATAAATAAACATCAGGAATAGACAGGTATCGGCTTCAGTCCTTGGAATTCTATCAGTCAGATTAGACAATCAGGAAGAAGCAGTGGTCCAATTTAGTGATTATATTGTGTATTTTCCAATAAATTGATTCACGTACATGTAAATATTCATAAATAAATATTTCCCCAAAATTAAACCATTCAGTTGGGAAACAAATGTGACATACTATTCTGTTGTAGTATTGCACAGCCTTCCACCAACTGTTGCCCCATGTGTGTGTTGGACTACCATTTTGTTTCCAATCCCCATTCTGGATGGGGATTATGAAGGGCCATATTTTCCCTTGCAAGCTAGATTGTGCTTTGAAATCTGCTGGGGAGGCCCTTCTGTGCCCAGTACCCTCAAAGGCACGTTGGTGGGAACAAGAGGAGGATCTTCTCAGTAGCTTCCTCCAGGCTCTGGAACTCATTTCCCAGGGAAGTCAAACTGCCATCCCCTCTACTTCACAGTTAAGTGAAAGTTAGCCATAGAGCTGTGCTGAGGGTCTAGATCAGTGGTTCTCAACCTGTGGGTCCCCAGGTGTTTTGGCCTACAATTCCCAGAAATCCCAGAGGTTTACCAGCTGTTAGGATTTCTGGGAGTTGAAGGCCAAAATATCTGGGGACCTACAGGTTGAGAACCACTGGCCTAGAGATTCCTAGAGAGAACATTAAATCACAGTCTAAGAAAGAAAATTTTCCAGGCTTGAAATCATTCACATGCAGCATCAACAGAGATAGTCATTACTTATTTGTGAAAACCAGTCTTAGCCTTTCTAGAACATGAGACCTCCAAATAGCCTCTGGGGTTATTTGCAGAAAAGATAAATTACATTCGTAGAAAGGATAAACCATAACCATCATGAAATTTGTGCTGTGAAAGTAAAACTTTAAAAAAATGTGTGTGTGTGTCTATTTAATAGAGTGAAGAGGACAAAAGCAACGAAAACTAATGAGAGCCAACCTCAGCCCAGCAAGGACACCATGAAAGTGTATCTTGGCTCGCTGTGCTCAGACAGAGAGTAGGAAGACTGCATTTCAAGCCCCTTCCGATCCCAGGCCCGAAGCGAAATGTGGGCGTACGGCACAGCCAAAGGATTGCATAAATACAGCTGAGAGCAGCTTGGGGCTTTCTGTTTCAGAATGGGACACTGATGTGAACTGGAGACAGCCGAGCAACGCTAGCAGCCAGCAAAAACTTCATCTTGCGGCGTGGTTAGACACAGCTTCTACGCCGGAGCCCTCAGTGGTGGTTGTGAGTCAGCATGGCCTCTTCCAAACCAGAGTCAAGGGGTGACTGAAACAGCAGAAATGCTGTTTGGAGCAGGCAGGAGGAGTCAGCTCGTGTCTCTCAAGCCGAATCAGTCACTTCCCAGACATGCAGCAGGGCTGGTTCTCTGGAGCCATCTTTTGGAGAAATCCCCACCAAATCCCACATTTGTTTTCTAAGTGAGGCTTGGCAGGATCCACGTCTGATGGAAGAGTTGCTTACTTGAGTTAAAAAGCTTCCCCAGAGACTTATTTTTATGAGAAATACTAGAGCTGTCGTGCAGACAAACCCAAGCTAGCCGCAGTCACCAAAGAATAACCCTTAATGCTGCTTTCTCCCCATATGCCAAGCTTGCAGGGGGAGACGTTTGAAAGGATGGGGCAAAAGTCCAAAAGCAGGAAAACAGATCCCTAAACTCAAAGCTATAAGAAGAAACTTGCACTGTTTTGTATAATTGTACAGAAATCCTTGGTTCCAGAGATATAATGGTCACTCTCAGTTACTTTTTCTTGGGAAATGTCTGTTTCAAGTATATATTATTTTTAATTATGTTTTTATGAATTCACCACAGACTTTGGTCTGCTTAGTTGCTCCCAACCCATTTCTTATTGTTTATTGTAATGGGGAACAAAAAGAGATTTATGTCACTTTGCCTATCATTTTCTTCAGGTTTTATCCCTGTTTTGTTGTATAACTTTTGGGGAGGCAAAACACATTCTGAAGAAATAGAGTAAGCTTGGTAAAATATTTCAGCACAACTAGGTTGGGAAGAAAAAGTGTGTGACAGTGAAGATGAAATCAAATAACATTTGTGTCTTAATTCAGTTTAAATTGGCTTTGAGCTACATATCCATTATTGGTTTGTTATGAGTGTTGTCATTTACTTGACTCATTTCCCCCTCCTTCCTCTGCAGCAATAAATGTTTATGAGGAAATAAAACTACATAAGAATTACTTTAATGAGGCTGAGAACCCAAGTGGCCGCAAAAGTTGTCATTGAAATTGATCATGGGGAGAATATGCTTGTTTTGTTTTGCTTTCTTGTGCCAATTTTCTCTTGTCCTTTCTAGAAGGAGCTCATTTCAGCAGAGAGTGTGTATGTTTTTTCTGCAAAATAAATGTAGATAAAGGTTTTCCCCTGACATTAAGTCCAGTCATGTCCGACTCTGGGGGTTGGTGCTCATCTCCATTCCTAAGCCGAAGAGCCGGCACCGTCCATAGACACCTCCAAGGTCATGTGGCCATTACCTTCCTGCCAGAGCATACCTATTGATCTACTTACATTTGCATGTTTTCAAACTGCTAGGTTGCCAGAAGCTGGGGCTAAAATTGGGAACTCACACCACTCCCTGGATTTGAACCTGCGACCTTTCGGTAAACAAGTTCAGCAGCTCAGCAGTTTAACCCACTCCGCCACTGGAGCTCCAATAAACATATACAATCTATATAAATAAAATGTAATGTTCGTTTGTGGGATTAGCATAACTCAAAACCACTGGACGAAATGACACCAAATTTGGACGCAATACATGTATCAGGCCAACAAGTGACCATCACTCATAAAAACACTGAAAAACACAGCAGAGCAGACTTAAAAAGAAAAAAAATTACGACACATGTACAAAACCACATACACACACACACACATATGCAAATACACATATATACACACAAAACATATACACAGATTGCGCCACAGCAGTGCGTGGCAGGAGACGGCTAGTACATAATAAAAATCAGCAGACACTTCCCGGGATGCATGCTTCTGAATTGTTGTCATGTGCCTTCAATTTGACTCTGACTTATGGCAAGCCTTGTCATAGGGTTCTACAGTCCAGATTTATTCAAAGTAGGCGTGGAATTTTTCATCAACAACTGATTTTTGCCATTTTCTTCCCATTGTGAGAAATATATTTTGAAAAAACAAATTTCAAAGGCCATTCCCAGTTGAGAGTTTATTCTGCATAAAATGTTCACACTTTTTCTTAAATACATTTACTGTTCTTGAAATAGCACAGAAAATAATTACTGCAGAGAAAGTCTTTTCTGCATTGACATGTCTTCTATGCACTTTTCTACATTAAAAGTACACATTTTATGCATTTAAGGACTCAATCTATGTGAAACTCACACATGATGCACATAATAAATTTGGAATGGGAAAGATTCTTGTCATCTTAGGGTTCTCCTAATCAGGGTTTCTTGGTGTTCAATAAACAGGTATTTTGACTCTTCTGGGGGAAAGATTTTAAATCATGCTTTCCATCCCCAATTCAAGGAGGGATTTGACATTGCCTTCCTCCACTCCTTTCAGAGTTTGCTCAATGTCACACAATGACCAAGTGAGCATTCAAACTTGGTCTTCCAGAGTCCTGGTAGAAAATTCCACAATCTCACACTGATTTTAACCATACTTCAGAAATGCCTGAAGTGATACATTGATGCCTTGAGTCATCTAGAGCTCATGCTTTTTCTTCAAAGGACCCTGCCACACAGGTATTTATTATTTATTTACAGCTTTTATATTCTGCCCTTCTCACCCCGCAGGAGACTCAGGGCGGATTACAGTGTACACATATATGGCAAACATTCAATGACAATTTTTGACATACAAACATATACAGACATACACAGAGGCTTTTTAACTTTTCTGGCCACCAGGGGAGCTGTCGCTTTCATCGTCCATCTGCGACGCTGATGATGTACTTCCGCATTCCCCGCATGCTTCCCTGCTGGAATGCTTTGCTGGAGTCTTCTTTATGGCCTCATAAATTAGTTAATTTAGCCTCCCCACACTTTAATGTGGTACCTAATTTTCCTGCTTGACAGATGCAACTGTCTTTCGGGTTGCAAAGGTCAACAACAGACTACACACAATTGGTTGGAAACCCACTCCAACCTGGGCTGGCTTCGAACTCATGACCTTTTGGTCAGAGTGATCTTTAATGCAGCTGACACTCAGCCAGCTGCACCACAATCCCAGAATATCAAGTCAGAAAATCCCACAATATCTGCTTTGACCTGGGTTATCTGAGTCCACCCTGCTATATATTCCAGTACAAAGCAGATAATCCAGGATAATTCACAGATAATTCAGCTGTGTGGAAGAGGCCAAAGATGTAAACTGGAATCTTTGGTGTGGATGTTACACTCAAAATTTTCCTGATATTATGGCTTGGCTCTCAAAGTCTGGTAGGTTGATTCCCAATCAGGTTTAGTCAGGATAGTCTCCTGTGATCACCAAAGCTGCTTTCCGGTTTAAGTTATATTATATTATATTATATTATGTAATATTATGTAATATTATTTTATAATATTATCATATTAAGCAATATGATAACATTATAATGTAATACAATATACTAGTACTACTAATAAAATTATAATTATAATTATATATTTTACATTAAATGTAATATTACTAATAATATTACAGTATAATGTTATAGTACAATGTAATATATAATATTAATATTGTGCTATGATAATAATAATATATTGCATTTACTTTTTACTTGTAAGCCGTTTTGAGTCTCCTTCGGGATGAAAGGGCGGCACATAAATGTCGTAAATAAATAAATAAATAAATAAATAATAGGCTTGCAGCCTGAATTAGGAGTGTGAAAATCAGTGTCAATGATTTTTTTTTAACAAACCTGAATCCTGGCCAGTCTTCTTTTCATCCTTGTTTCGTAAGACTTGTCTGAGATGGAAATTCACACACTTTTAAAAAACTTATCTTTCCTAATTTGAAGATGTATTTGCATAGTTGTTGTAATTTATGTAGATTTGCCCCATTGACTAAAGTGCGCTTCTCTTTGTTGTTGTTGTTTTTTTTCAATTGTATGAATTTTCTGTCTATCTTATTTCTCAGAAACATGTTGTCAGCCTCTGAAATATGTGTTTGTGTTAGAGTGGGTGCCCTCACAAAAGAACTCTTCAGAGGCAAGAAAAAGCTACTTTCTCTTGTGCCCATGAACCTTGTTGACCAGAAATTGTGTCAGTTTTGCATTTATTTATTTTAAGCATTTACGTTCCGCTCAGCCTAGAAGACCCCCAGGTGCTTTACAGATTAATAACTACAAGGCAGCCTTGGCCTTTCAACTTACTATCTGAAAAGTAGGGGAGAAAGAAAGGAGAAGAATGAGAAGCTAAAGGAAAGCTAGAACATTTCAGCATGAAATACTTAATGTTATACACCTTGTGTGTTTCCAAGCCGATTCTGACTTAAAGCAAACCTGAGACGGATGTGTCATTGAGTTTTCTTGGCAGGATCTGTTCAAGGCAAGTGGCAATTCCTTAGTGAATATTGATGTGCTTATTTTGCCAAGGTTAGCATTCTTAGATATGCAAAAACTGCTGATCATAATCTTCAGATCATAAGTCACTAAGTGATATTTATAAATGAAAAGTTATCTTTTAGCTGTTCAAATTCCATTTTATTTAACCTTCAAAGTGCAGATATAGAAAACTGCTGGTGGTCAGTCCTTTCTGTACTTCAAATTCACAGAATTCTCCTCTTTTCTGCATGTGCACCACGATAATTTGCCCCTAGTGATAAATAATAGCTGATTTTATTTATTTATAACATTTCTACCCCACCTTTCTCCACCCCAGAAGGGACTCAAGGCAACTTACAGTTAGGCAACTATTTGATGCGTTCAAAGCAATGTACGGTTAAAATAAACATTTATTTTTATTTTTTAAAAATATTTTTATTATCATGTTTAATACATTTGTTATACATTGTTTATTTTACAGCAGATACATGTTATTCAATACAACCTACCATACTTTTGGCATCTACTGTTATTTTTCTGCTTAAACATATTTTCTATTCCTCCCCACTGTGCTTCCCCCCCCCCCAGCCACAGCTTTTACATATCATCTGTCCAAAATTTCAATTCCTATTGTGGAGGTAACTTTCCTTCTTTATTTTTTAATCCTTTTTCGATAAATTTTCTCCATACATCATCGAAATCACTTTGTTTCCATATACCTCTTTTAACTTTTAATATACATGTCAGCTTATCATTTATTGCCAATTTCCATACCTCCTTGTACCACTCCTCTATTTGTATATTTATTTCTTTTTTCCAGTTCCTTGCTATATGCAGTCTTGCTATTGTTAATAAATTCATTATCGCTTCTTTATCCTCTTTTTTCAATTGTTTATTATTATATAATGATAATAAAGCTATACTAGGACTTCTTTCTATTTTAATATTCATTATATCCTCTATTTCTCTAAATACTTTCCCCCCAAAATTATTAACATATTTACATTGCCACTACATATGTATATATGTTCCTGATTCTTGACATCCTTTCCAGCAATTTTTTGAATAGTTTTTATTTATATTTGCTATTCTTACTGGTGTTAGGTACCATTCCGTATTAACTTATAATAATTTTCTTTAACCCATATTGATAAGTTTTTAGATGTCTTTGTCTCCATAATTGTTGCCACTCTGCTTCATTTATTTTTATCCCTAAATCTTCTTCCCAGACCTCCTTGAGGATGTTATTTTTTTGTTTTTCCTTTCTTTGTTTCTATTATTATCTTATATATTTTACTAGTTATTCCTTTCAAATTTTCATGCTCCTCTACAACCCTTCCATTTTGTATTATTTGTTCAAATTGATTACTTCCGTTTGTATTATTTTTCCCCCAATTTTTAAACCATTGTTCTAATTGTATACAATGGAACCATGTCAATTTTATTTCTCTAAATTCTTCCATAATTGTTTCCTTCTTCATTCCAACCTTTATCCAATCCCCTATTTTGTCCAAATTTTCCCCCTTAACTTTTTATCCATTACTTTAAAAAAAAAACTGGAAATTTCTTTTCCAAAGAAATAATAAACATTTAAAAATAATCATTTAAATAGAATTATAAAATATCTTTAAAACAAGAAAACATATAAAACAATGCCTTCACTGCTAACCACATTATCCAAAGTCATAGTCTGAACCATTCCAGTAGTCATTGCACAGAAAT